CCTAAAATATCGCTTATTTTCATTGAAATCCCTGTTTTTCCCCTTAAATATCGCTTATTTTCATAGAAATCCCTGTTTTTAACCTCAAATATCGCTTATTTTCATAGAAATCCCTGTTTTTAACCTCAAATATCGCTTATTTCCATAGAAATCCCAGTTTTTAACCTAAAGTATCGCTTATTTTCATAGAAATCCCTGTTTTTAACCTCAAATATCGCTTATTTCCATAGAAATCCCAGTTTTTCCCCTCAAATATCGCTTATTTTCATAGAAATCCCAGTTTTTAACCTCAAATATCGCTTATTTCCATAGAAATCCCAGTTTTTAACCTAAAATATCGCTTATTTTCCTAGAAATCCCTGTTTTTAACCTAAGATATCGCTTATTTTCATAGAAATCCCTGTTTTTCCCCTTAAATATCGCTTATTTTCCTAGAAATCCCTGTTTTTAACCTCAAATATCGCTTATTTCCATAGAAATCCCAGTTTTTAACCTAAAATATCGCTTATTTTCATAGAAATCCCTGTTTTTAACCTCAAATATCGCTTATTTCCATAGAAATCCCTGTTTTTAACCTCAAATATCGCTTATTTTCATAGAAATCCCTGTTTTTCCCCTTAAATATCGCTTATTTTCATAGAAATCCCAGTTTTTCCCCCTAAATATCGCTTATTTTCATAGAAATCCCTGTTTTAAACCTCAAATATCGCTTATTTTCATAGAAATCCCTGTTTTTCCCCTTAAATATCGCTTATTTTCATAGAAATCCCTGTTTTTAACCTCAAATATCGCTTATTTCCATAGAAATCCCAGTTTTCCCCCTCCAATATCGCTTATTTTCATAGAAATCCCAGTTTTCCCCTTAAATATCGCTTATTTTCATAGAAATCCCAGTTTTCCCCTTAAATATCGCTTATTTTCATAGAAATCCCTGTTTTTAACATCAAATATCGCTTATTTCCATAGAAATCCCTGTTTTTAACCTCAAATATCGCTTATTTTCATAGAAATCCCTGTTTTTCCCCTTAAATATCGCTTATTTTCATAGAAATCCCAGTTTTTCCCCCTAAATATCGCTTATTTTCATAGAAATCCCTGTTTTAAACCTCAAATATCGCTTATTTTCATAGAAATCCCTGTTTTTCCCCTTAAATATCGCTTATTTTCATAGAAATCCCTGTTTTTAACCTCAAATATCGCTTATTTCCATAGAAATCCCAGTTTTCCCCCTCCAATATCGCTTATTTTCATAGAAATCCCAGTTTTCCCCTTAAATATCGCTTATTTTCATAGAAATCCCTGTTTTTAACCTCAAATATCGCTTATTTTCATAGAAATCCCTGTTTTTAACATCAAATATCGCTTATTTTCATAGAAATCCCAGTTTTTCCCCTTAAATATCGCTTATTTTCATAGAAATCCCTGTTTTTAACCTAAAATATCGCTTATTTTCATAGAAATCCCTGTTTTTATCCTCAAATATCGCTTATTTTCATAGAAATCCCTGTTTTTAACCTAAAATATCGCTTATTTTCATAGAAATCCCAGTTTTCAACCTAAAATATCGCTTATTTTCATAGAAATCCCTGTTTTTCCCCTTAAATATCGCTTATTTTCATCGAAATCCCTGTTTTTAACCTCAAATATCGCTTATTTTCATAGAAATCCCTGTTTTTAACCTCAAATATCGCTTATTTTCATAGAAATCCCAGTTTTTCCCCTTAAATATCGCTTATTTTCATAGAAATCCCTGTTTTTCCCCTAAAATATCGCTTATTTTCATAGAAATCCCTGTTTTTATCCTCAAATATCGCTTATTTTCATAGAAATCCCTGATTTTAACCTAAAATATCGCTTATTTTCCTAGAAATCCCTGTTTTTAACCTAAAATATCGCTTATTTCCATAGAAATCCCTGTTTTTATCATCAAAATATCGCTTATTTTCGTAGAAATCCCTGTTTTTCCCTCAAATATCGCTTATTTTCCTAGAAATCCCTGTTTTTAACCTAAGATATCGCTTATTTTCATAGAAATCCCTGTTTTTCCCCTTAAATATCGCTTATTTTCATAGAAATCCCAGTTTTTAACCTCAAATATCGCTTATTTTCCTAGAAATCCCTGTTTTTAACCTCAAATATCGCTTATTTCCATAGAAATCCCAGTTCTTAACCTAAAATATCGCTTATTTTCATAGAAATCCCTGTTTTTAACCTCAAATATCGCTTATTTCCATAGAAATCCCAGTTTTTAACCTCAAATATCGCTTATTTTCATAGAAATCCCTGTTTTTAACCTAAAATATCGCTTATTTCCATAGAAATCCCAGTTTTTAACCTAAAATATCGCTTATTTTCATAGAAATCCCTGTTTTTCCCCTTAAATATCGCTTATTTTCATAGAAATCCCTGTTTTTCCCCCTAAATATCGCTTATTTTCATAGAAATCCCTGTTTTTAACCTCAAATATCGCTTATTTTCATAGAAATCCCTGTTTTTCTCCTTAAATATCGCTTATTTTCATAGAAATCCCTGTTTTTAACCTCAAATATCGCTTATTTCCATAGAAATCCCAGTTTTCCCCCTCCAATATCGCTTATTTTCATAGAAATCCCAGTTTTTCCCCTAAAATATCGCTTATTTTCATAGATATCCCTGTTTTTAACCTCAAATATCGCTTATTTTCATAGAAATCCCTGTTTTTCCCCTTAAATATCGATTATTTTCATAGAAATCCCTGTTTTTATCCTCAAATATCGCTTATTTTCATAGAAATCCCTGTTTTTAACCTCAAATATCGCTTATTTTCATAGAAATCCCTGTTTTTAACCTAAAATATCGCTTATTTCCATAGAAATCCCTGTTTTTAACCTAAAATATCGCTTATTTTCATAGAAATCCCTGTTTTTAACCTCAAATATCGCTTATTTCCATAGAAATCCCAGTTTTTCCCCTCAAATATCGCTTATTTTCATAGAAATCCCTGTTTTTAACCTAAAATATCGCTTATTTTCATAGAAATCCCAGTTTTTAACCTAAAATATCGCTTATTTTCATAGAAATCCCAGTTTTCAACCTAAAATATCGCTTATTTTCATAGAAATCCCTGTTTTTCCCCTTAAATATCGCTTATTTTCATAGAAATCCCTGTTTTTAACCTCAAATATCGCTTATTTTCCTAGAAATCCCTGTTTTTAACCTCAAATATCGCTTATTTTCCTAGAAATCCCTGTTTTTAACCTAAAATATCGCTTATTTCCATAGAAATCCCAGTTTTTAATCTAAAATATCGCTTATTTTCATAGAAATCCCAGTTTTTCCCTTAAAATATCGCTTATTTTCATAGATATCCCTGTTTTTAACCTCAAATATCGCTTATTTTCATAGAAATCCCTGTTTTTCCCCTTAAATATCGCTTATTTTCATAGAAATCCCTGTTTTTCCCCTTAAATATCGCTTATTTCCATAGAAATCCCAGTTTTTAACGTAAAATATCGCTTATTTCCATAGAAATCCCTGTTTTTAACCTAAAATATCGCTTATTTTCATAGAAATCCCTGTTTTTCCCCTCAAATATCGCTTATTTTCATAGAAATCCCAGTTTTTCCCCCTTAAATATTGCTTATTTTCATAGAAATCCCAGTTTTTAACCTAAAATATCGCTTATTTTCATAGAAATCCCTGTTTTTAACCTCAAATATCGCTTATTTCCATGGAAATCCCTGTTTTTAACCTAAAATATCGCTTATTTTCATAGAAATCCCTGTTTTTAACCTCAAATATCGCTTATTTTCATAGAAATCCCTGTTTTTCCCCTTAAATATCGCTTATTTTCCTAGAAATCCCTGTTTTTAACCTCAAATATCGCTTATTTTCCTAGAAATCCCTGTTTTTCCCCCTAAATATCGCTTATTTTCATAGAAATCCCTGTTTTTCCCCTTAAATATCGCTTATTTTCATAGAAATCCCTGTTTTTAACCTAAGATATCGCTTATTTTCATAGAAATCCCTGTTTTTATCCTAAGATATCGCTTATTTTCCTAGAAATCCCAGTTTTTAACCTCAAATATCGCTTATTTTCATAGAAATCCCTGTTTTTCCCCTTAAATATCGCTTATTTTCATAGAAATCCCAGTATTCAACCTAAAATATCGCTTATTTTCATAGAAATCCCAGTTTTCAACCTCAAATATCGCTTATTTTCATAGAAATCCCAGTTTTTCCCCTTAAATATCACTTATTTTCATAGAAATCCCTGTTTTTAACCTAAAATATCGCTTATTTCCATAGAAATCCCTGTTTTTATCATCAAAATATCGCTTATTTTCGTAGAAATCCCTGTTTTTCCCTCAAATATCGCTTATTTTCATAGAAATCCCTGTTTTCCCCCATAAATATCGCTTATTTTCATAGAAATCCCAGTTTTTAACCTAAAATATCGCTTATTTTCATAGAAATCCCAGTTTTCAACCTAAAATATCGCTTATTTTCATAGAAATCCCTGTTTTTAACCTAAAATATCGCTTATTTTCATAGATATCCCTGTTTTTAACCTCAAATATCGCTTATTTCCATAGAAATCCCTGTTTTTATCCTAAGATATCGCTTATTTTCCTAGAAATCCCTGTTTTTAACCTCAAATATCGCTTATTTTCATAGAAATCCCAGTTTTTAACCTCAAATATCGCTTATTTTCATAGAAATCCCTGTTTTTAACCTCAAATATCGCTTATTTTCCTAGAAATCCCAGTTTTTCCCCTTAAATATCGCTTATTTTCATAGAAATCCCTGTTTTTAACCTAAAATATCGCTTATTTTCATAGAAATCCCTGTTTTTATCCTCAAATATCGCTTATTTTCATAGAAATCCCTGTTTTTAACCTAAAATATCGCTTATTTTCATAGAAATCCCAGTTTTCAACCTAAAATATCGCTTATTTTCATAGAAATCCCTGTTTTTCCCCTTAAATATCGCTTATTTTCATAGAAATCCCTGTTTTAACCTTAAATATCGCTTATTTTCATTGAAATCCCTGTTTTTAACCTAAAATATCGGTTATTTTCATAGAAATCCCTGTTTTTAACCTCAAATATCGCTTATTTTCATAGAAATCCCTGTTTTTCCCCTTAAATATCGCTTATTTTCATAGAAATCCCTGTTTTTAACCTCAAATATCGCTTATTTTCATAGAAATCCCAGTTTTTCCCCTAAATATCGCTTATTTTCATAGAAATCCCAGTTTTTAACCTAAAATATCGCTTATTTTCATAGAAATCCCTGTTTTTCCCCTTAAATATCGCTTATTTTCATAGAAATCCCTGTTTTTCCCCTTAAATATCGCTTATTTTCATAGAAATCCCTGTTTTTAACCTCAAATATCGCTTATTTTCATAGAAATCCCTGTATTTAACCTCAAATATCGCTTATTTTCATAGAAATCCCAGTTTTTCCCCTTAAATATCGCTTATTTTCATAGAAATCCCTGTTTTTAACCTAAAATATCGCTTATTTTCATAGAAATCCCTGTTTTTATCCTCAAATATCGCTTATTTTCATAGAAATCCCTGTTTTTAACCTAAAATATCGCTTATTTTCATAGAAATCCCAGTTTTCAACCTAAAATATCGCTTATTTTCATAGAAATCCCTGTTTTTCCCCTTAAATATCGCTTATTTTCCTAGAAATCCCTGTTTTTAACCTAAAATATCGCTTATTTTCATTGAAATCCCTGTTTTTAACCTAAAATATCGGTTATTTTCATAGAAATCCCTGTTTTTAACCTAAAATATCGCTTATTTTCCTAGAAATCCCTGTTTTTCCCCTTAAATATCGCTTATTTTCATAGAAATCCCTGTTTTTAACCTAAAATATCGCTTATTTTCATAGAAATCCCTGTTTTTAACCTCAAATATCGCTTATTTTCATAGAAATCCCTGTTTTTAACCTCAAATATCGCTTATTTCCATAGAAATCCCAGTTTTTCCCCTCAAATATCGCTTATTTTCATAGAAATCCCTGTTTTTAACCTAAAATATCGCTTATTTCCATAGAAATCCCTGTTTTTAACCTAAAATATCGCTTATTTTCATAGAAATCCCTGTTTTTCCCCTAAAATATCGCTTATTTTCATAGAAATCCCTGTTTTTCCCCTTAAATATCGCTTATTTTCATAGAAATCCCTGTTTTTAACCTCAAATATCGCTTATTTTCATAGAAATCCCTGTTTTTAACCTAAAATATCGCTTATTTCCATAGAAATCCCAGTTTTTAACCTAAAATATCGCTTATTTTCATAGAAATCCCAGTTTTTAACCTAAAATATCGCTTATTTTCATAGAAATCCCTGTTTTTCCCCTTAAATATCGCTTATTTTCATCGAAATCCCTGTTTTTAACCTCAAATATCGCTTATTTTCATAGAAATCCCTGTTTTTCCCCTTAAATATCGCTTATTTTCATAGAAATCCCTGTTTTTCCCCTTAAATATAGCTTATTTTCATAGAAATCCCTGTTTTTCCCCTTAAATATCGCTTATTTTCCTAGAAATCCCTGTTTTTCCCCTTAAATATCGCTTATTTTCATAGAAATCCCTGTTTTTAACCTCAAATATCGCTTATTTTCATAGAAATCCCTATTTTTAACCTCAAATATCGCTTATTTTCATAGAAATCCCTGTTTTTAACCTAAAATATTGCTTATTTTCCTAGAAATCCCTGTTTTTAACCTCAAATATCGCTTATTTTCATAGAAATCCCTGTTTTTAACCTAAAATATCGCTTATTTTCATAGAAATCCCAGTTTTCAACCTAAAATATCGCTTATTTTCATAGAAATCCCTGTTTTTCCCCTTAAATATCGCTTATTTTCATAGAAATCCCTGTTTTTAACCTAAAATATCGCTTATTTTCATTGAAATCCCTGTTTTTAACCTCAAATATCGCTTATTTTCATAGAAATCCCTGTTTTTAACCTCAAATATCGCTTATTTTCATAGAAATCCCTGTTTTTAACCTAAAATATCGCTTATTTCCATAGAAATCCCAGTTTTTAACCTAAAGTATCGCTTATTTTCATAGAAATCCCTGTTTTTAACCTCAAATATCGCTTATTTCCATAGAAATCCCAGTTTTTCCCCTCAAATATCGCTTATTTTCATAGAAATCCCAGTTTTTAACCTCAAATATCGCTTATTTCCATAGAAATCCCAGTTTTTAACCTAAAATATCGCTTATTTTCCTAGAAATCCCTGTTTTTAACCTAAGATATCGCTTATTTTCATAGAAATCCCTGTTTTTCCCCTTAAATATCGCTTATTTTCATAGAAATCCCAGTTTTTAACCTCAAATATCGCTTATTTCCATAGAAATCCCAGTTTTTAACCTAAAATATCGCTTATTTTCATAGAAATCCCTGTTTTTAACCTCAAATATCGCTTATTTCCATAGAAATCCCTGTTTTTAACCTCAAATATCGCTTATTTTCATAGAAATCCCTGTTTTTAACCTAAAATATCGCTTATTTTCATAGAAATCCCTGTTTTTCCCCTTAAATATCGCTTATTTTCATAGAAATCCCAGTTTTTCCCCCTAAATATCGCTTATTTTCATAGAAATCCCTGTTTTAAACCTCAAATATCGCTTATTTTCATAGAAATCCCTGTTTTTCCCCTTAAATATCGCTTATTTTCATAGAAATCCCTGTTTTTAACCTCAAATATCGCTTATTTTCATAGAAATCCCAGTTTTCCCCCTCCAATATCGCTTATTTTCATAGAAATCCCAGTTTTTCCCTTAAAATATCGCTTATTTTCATAGATATCCCTGTTTTTAACCTCAAATATCGCTTATTTTCATAGAAATCCCTGTTTTTCCCCTTAAATATCGATTATTTTCATAGAAATCCCTGTTTTTATCCTCAAATATCGCTTATTTTCATAGAAATCCCTGTTTTTAACCTCAAATATCGCTTATTTTCATAGAAATCCCTGTTTTTAACCTAAAATATCGCTTATTTTCATAGAAATCCCTGTTTTTAACCTCAAATATCGCTTATTTTCATAGAAATCCCTGTTTTTAACCTAAAATATCGCTTATTTCCATAGAAATCCCTGTTTTTAACCTAAAATATCGCTTATTTTCCTAGAAATCCCTGTTTTTAACCTCAAATATCGCTTATTTCCATAGAAATCCCAGTTTTTCCCCTCAAATATCGCTTATTTTCATAGAAATCCCTGTTTTTCCCCTTAAATATCGCTTATTTTCATAGAAATCCCAGTTTTCAACCTAAAATATCGCTTATTTTCATAGAAATCCCTGTTTTTAACCTAAAATATCGCTCATTTTCCTAGAAATCCCTGTTTTTAACCTCAAATATCGCTTATTTTCATAGAAATCCCTGTTTTTATCCTAAGATATCGCTTATTTTCCTAGAAATCCCAGTTTTTAACCTCAAATATCGCTTATTTTCATAGAAATCCCTGTTTTTAATCTAAAATATCGCTTATTTTCATAGAAATCCCAGTTTTTCCCCTAAAATATCGCTTATTTTCATAGATATCCCTGTTTTTAACCTCAAATATCGCTTATTTTCATAGAAATCCCTGTTTTTCCCCTTAAATATCGCTTATTTTCATAGAAATCCCTGTTTTTCCCCTTAAATATCGCTTATTTTCATAGAAATCCCTGTTTTTAACCTCAAATATCGCTTATTTTCATAGAAATCCCTGTTTTTAACCTCAAATATCGCTTATTTTCATAGAAATCCCAGTTTTTCCCCTTAAATATCGCTTATTTTCATAGAAATCCCTGTTTTTAACCTAAAATATCGCTTATTTTCATAGAAATCCCTGTTTTTATCCTCAAATATCGCTTATTTTCATAGAAATCCCTGTTTTTAACCTAAAATATCGCTTATTTTCATAGAAATCCCAGTTTTCAACCTAAAATATCGCTTATTTTCATAGAAATCCCTGTTTTTAACCTCAAATATCGCTTATTTTCATCGAAATCCCTGTTTTTAACCTCAAATATCGCTTATTTTCATAGAAATCCCTGTTTTTAACCTCAAATATCGCTTATTTTCATAGAAATCCCAGTTTTTCCCCTTAAATATCGCTTATTTTCATAGAAATCCCTGTTTTTATCCTCAAATATCGCTTATTTTCATAGAAATCCCTGATTTTAACCTAAAATATCGCTTATTTTCATAGAAATCCCTGTTTTTAACCTAAAATATCGCTTATTTTCATAGAAATCCCTGTTTTTATCATCAAAATATCGCTTATTTTCGTAGAAATCCCTGTTTTTCCCTCAAATATCGCTTATTTTCCTAGAAATCCCTGTTTTTAACCTAAGATATCGCTTATTTTCATAGAAATCCCTGTTTTTCCCCTTAAATATCGCTTATTTTCATAGAAATCCCAGTTTTTAACCTCAAATATCGCTTATTTTCCTAGAAATCCCTGTTTTTAACCTCAAATATCGCTTATTTCCATAGAAATCCCAGTTCTTAACCTAAAATATCGCTTATTTTCATAGAAATCCCTGTTTTTAACCTCAAATATCGCTTATTTCCATAGAAATCCCAGTTTTTAACCTCAAATATCGCTTATTTTCATAGAAATCCCTGTTTTTAACCTAAAATATCGCTTATTTCCATAGAAATCCCAGTTTTTAACCTAAAATATCGCTTATTTTCATAGAAATCCCTGTTTTTCCCCTTAAATATCGCTTATTTTCATAGAAATCCCAATTTTTCCCCCTAAATATCCCTTATTTTCATAGAAATCCCTGTTTTTAACCTCAAATATCGCTTATTTTCATAGAAATCCCTGTTTTTAATCTAAAATATCGCTTATTTTCATAGAAATCCCAGTTTTTCCCCTAAAATATCGCTTATTTTCATAGATATCCCTGTTTTTAACCTCAAATATCGCTTATTTTCATAGAAATCCCTGTTTTTCCCCTTAAATATCGCTTATTTTCATAGAAATCCCTGTTTTTCCCCTTAAATATCGCTTATTTTCATAGAAATCCCTGTTTTTAACCTAAAATATCGCTTATTTTCATAGAAATCCCTGTTTTTATCCTCAAATATCGCTTATTTTCATAGAAATCCCTGTTTTTAACCTCAAATATCGCTTATTTTCATAG